TCATTAGTCATTAGGCTCCACCCTGCATCTGAGTTGAATATTATTTCAAAAATTCACCTGAAGTTTTGAGAATGGAATGGCTAAAATTTTCAAGAGAAAAATATGCAAGACAAAATGTTTCAATAATATTTAATAAATAGTAATTAATAATTGGTGTTATTATCATGGGATGTGCACATCTCAAAAGGATTACTTGGAATCCAGATTTCTGATTTTGCAGTAATATATATATATATATATATTATACAGGGATCCTAAATTTTTTAAAAATACACATATTATTTACACTATTTATATGCAAACTGTTGTCCTTATATTTATCATGTTTTGGTTGGCATGTCTTTCATCCTTCATCAGGTGTATGTTGATTTTTACAGGAAATTCTGAACTGAACCTCCTTATTTAATCTATGGGGGTAGACTGTTTTTGTTTCACTGCCCATGTTTATTTTTTCTAGTTTTTTTTTTTTTTTTTACAACTGCTCAGTTATTGCTCATCCTGTTTCAGCAGAGTCCAAGTACACACTGCCTGGCCCAGGGATTGAAGTCGCTATTACTATGTCGCCAAACTCATGAACTGATGCTTTAATCCACTTGACTATTCTCTGTGGCAAACTTGGAGACTTAAACCTAACCTTCCTGCTTAGAAACTCACTTTTGCAAAGTTTAATTTGATATTAATAATTTATTAAAAATAGTTGAAAATTGAGGCTCAGTGGAGTAATGGATAGTGGCTCAGATTGAGGAATTGGAGAGCTGAGTTCGAATTCCAGTTGAATCCATTACATTCACTTACATGCTAATACCTCTGGCAAAGGTATGAATCCTCATCTCCCCCCAGCTAGGACAGACAGAGTTCTGGTCTACCACAGAAAAAAAGGCAACCTACTGTGGGAAAAAAATCTGCCTCATCATATTGAAAGCATGTGTCATGCATGGCACTTAACTGACAGTTTAAAATATTTTTTAATAAATTGTAGAAATGCCTTACTTAATTTTTTAATTCTTGATTCAAAAGATTTTTTTTTTGTTTCTGCAGTGGGGAGAATGGATGAAAGAAAAGCGTCAAAAAGCTTCAGAAAATTCTTATCGTGATGCCAACAATGCACCAGCTCTACTGTTGAAGCATGAAGCATTTGAAGCAGAAGTGAAGGCCAACACTGATAGACTGAATGCTCTAAATGAGGTAACCTTTAGCCCACTAAATTCTTTCTAGAATTGTTTCCCCCCACCATTTATTTTTTTTTTTTTTTTTTTTTTGAGGGTGCAAAAACATGAGCACCTACTGTTTTAAAATTATTATAACTTTCTTTGTACTGTGTGTATAGATTTTATTTTTTGTATACTAATAAAAGAATGAATAATATTTTGATGTAATGCATTACATTTTGTATGTATGTTTTCATGTTGAAAACAAAAAAATTGAAACACAAAATAAAAAAAAAAATACATTAACACTTGAACTCTTATTACTCCTTGTGGAGTTCTGGGGTGTAAAAAGAATCAAATGTGTCATCTTTCCTTGTGTTTAGATACAAGACCCCATCATTTTTTTACCTTTCTTTCACCTGACTAGCATATTTGTCTTGTTGACAAAAAGTTATTTTGTCATTTATAAATAGCCTTTCTGAAGGTGAATTATTTTGTCTATCAGGTACATTGATGGTCACCAGTAGCTTCCATGAAATTAGTCAGCTATGGGTGATACTAACTGCTAGTGATAATCATCGCTTTCCTCCATGTCACTAGCATGGTTATCGTCTTCGACTACTTCACCATCGGTTTAATCAAAGCTCTCATGTAGTGGAGAATAATTCAAAGTGGCATTATAAAACGGAAATTTAGCCTCTTTCTAAAGCAGTAGTAGGTGATTTCCAGCTTAAAATACCGGAAATAACAGTTGACATGTGTTTATTTATAGCAACTGTCTCAAAGTAACAGAATGCACCCTACAGCTGCAAAGGGAGAGAATTCTATGGTGACAATTTTCACCTCCAGTATGGTAAAAGTTAATTTGGGACAGCAAAACTATATTTCTGATGATACTTATCTCATACTAAAATATTGCTTGTATTTTGAAAATAGATGTTTCAGAATGGTATTCATGATACAAAATTTTTATTGCTGATTAAATATGGAATTATTTACTTTAAGATGATAAAAATGAATCTTCAAATTTGTTTTGCATTGGAAAATCACATGGGTTAAAAACTTTTCATTACAAGTTTACTGCAAATTGTATCAAGTAGTATACTTCTGTTGTGTGTTCTCTGGATTTTAAAGGTCTTTTGGCAATTTCTCAGTCAGGACCCCAATGCTGCATTAGAGTTAATGAAACACTATTTTCTTCAGGTTTTTTGTTTTATTTCATGCAGGGAAATAGTAGTAGACTTAGAGGGAGATTGAACAGATGTCAGTATGTTGGCAAATTACCTATCTTTTTCTCTATTGCTGTTAAAATACTATTGATTAGAAAGCTAAGAATTACTAACCTTTTCATATGAAATGAAACATTTTTTTCAATGTCTTTTCTGTAGCTTGACTTTTTTTTTATAAATTCTTTGATGTAAATTTATGAGGATTATTTCTCTGAATCTATTTCTATGTATTATTTATTCTGCATTCTTCATAGGAAGGAAAGTCACTTATTGCTGAACGACATCCAGAGTCAGATAAGGTGAAAAAAATCCTGGCTGATACAAATAATGAATGGAATACTCTTTTGGTCAGTTCCGAAGGCAAGACAGGAAAATTGAAACAAGCTGTGCAAGTAAAGAACATGGATAAAACAATTGAAGATTCTTTGGTAATTTCTTTTCACATATAATGCATGCACACACACACACACACACACACACACTGGCAACATGGTTGAGTGGTTAGAACATTTGCTTTCTAACCATGAGACCCTTCTTCAAATGTCATTATAGTTGATTTTTCAGGAAGTTAATTTCTTGATGTTATCAACCTTAGGAGGCAATCCTAGCATGTGGCACCTTTGGAAAGTGATGAGAAACATAACACAGGTTGAGCCAAACCATTTGAGTTAAATTGAGTTGATAGAACTATTTGTTAATGTTTGTGCTATCACAAGTCATTGTGACCAAGGATTTGAGCATACTGGTATTGTTTAGACTGTTGATGATGCCAGATAACGGGCTCTCTCCCAGAAACTGTAACTAAGGTCTACTCAGTATAGTTGCAGTATAAACTGCAGTTGATGGTTGAGTTGCTTCGGAAAAAAATTTAATTGAGCATCAATTTTTTTTTTTTTTTTCCATTATCTTTTCTGTATTGATATGGCTTTTTAAAATTGTTGAATGGCTTTTGAAAGATGGAATTTTATGATATTGGAAGAAGGTGAACATTAAACTTTATTCTTTCTCACTGTTATATAAGAATAAAGTGTCGCTGCCGACACTGGAGTTTGAACACAGATCACCAGAGAGCAAACAAAGGTGATCTCATTTTGAATAAGTAGATCATGTGATGGTAAAGGAAATGTATATATGGGAATTAGCATGGCATCTAAGTGATCACTATATGGATTACTATTCGGATCACTATTCAATGGTTACTTTCGAGTGAGTATGATCAAGCAAGTACTATTAGTGCAAGTGTTAGTTGAAGGTATCTGACACCAGTATTGGTGTTACTATAGTTGGATCTACAATTACAAAGTCTCTACTACAACAAGCATTATGACAGTGACAATGAGTATTCGTTGACATTACAAAAGTGGCAATGTTTGTTGGCATCACAAAACTCACGATTTTTATCTTGATTTTCAGACACAAATAAATGACATCAAATTGAAATGCAGCAATCCTGATGTTGGCACTGACCTTCGACATTGCAAAGAACTTATTAAAAAACACCAGGTAAGGATTGTCATCTATTTTTCTTGAAGTTTTTTGTTTTGTTTCTTAATATTTAATAAGAGTTGCATCATTTGTATTGTTTAGAAAGCCTTACAATAAGAGTTTTAGGTATCAATTATGGTATAATGATTAACTGGGTTTGGCTATGAATTGGATCCATATATTGTCTATTTTGATTTTGTGCCAATTGAAACTGTTCAAGAAATAGTCAACATTTTTTAATTTTTTAACATAATTGTTATTTAATTCCAAGCCATAATGAACTTAAACCATCCATACCTATGGGCATCAGGAAATGATTTTAAGTGTGTTTTTTTTGTTTTGGTTTTGTTTTTTACATATATTAATAGCTTTTCAATCCAACTTTATCATAATAAGAGATATTCTTTTTCTAATACACACACACACACACACACACACATATAATATATATATATATATATATATATATATATATATATATATATATTAAAAACACACTCTCTTGGGGAAAAGTATGAATCTATCTCTTCTCCCACTAGCTATAGCAGAACAGGCTGGGTCCTATAACCTTGGGTGTCAACTGGTCTATGATTAGGACAACTCTGATCTCAAAACCCGTGGGAGGTCATTTGGGTATGTTGTGGCACAGTGTGCACTAGTTCTCTGTATTTGGCTCTTCCAGGTGGGTTCTGCACAAGCTGTCACCACTATAATCAAATACGCATGTATAGTCTTGCTGTTCAGCTCCGAGTTGCTGTACCCTCAAATGACAGTATATACATATGAGAGATAGTTATGTATTTAGTCAACAATCCCTCTCCAATATACATTTCTATAAAAAATGACTAACAAGGTACTTCTAAGTTTTTATTGTATGTGAAAAAACTTTTTTTTCACTTTTGTGTCCAGAAATTGCCCAAATGATCATTCCAAGCACTTTTGGCAAATCTGTTAGCCATTTTCAAGGATTTTGGTTGCACTATAATAAATGGTGTGTGCAATAAAATATAAAAGACTTAAAAGTACTTTGTGGCTCTGTGTGCTTCACTGAATGCCACTCTTACTTTGGTCTGTCTCCAGCGAGCATGCACTGCACCAATCCTGCATATCCTCATTCTGTTTCAATATTTACCAGAATATCAGTGAAGAACTGTCAAAGATCAGGCTTGACTCCTCTCTGTTCTAGCTCTACTTGTGAAAGTCTAATCACCAGTGTCACTGGTAAACTTAATTAACTTCAACACTCATTAACAAGTATAAAAATAACAACTTTTATTTATGATACTATGATTAAGATTATGAATACATAAACAAAAGGGATTTGTGTGTCTGTCTATTGTCATTGATTAAAACAGAAATTTACATAGAAACAAATCTTCAATATAGCTCATGGCATAATCCTGGTATTGAACTTGAGACTACAAGGTAACTGCAACAGTTAGCAGCAAAAAAAATGACACTCACACAAATTTACCGGAATCCAGGAAATATTCTATAGATATCAACATATGGTATTGGGTTGAAATGTTGTTTGTATTCTACCTGAGGTGACCCTTTAAAATGTTGACAATTATGGCTCTCCACAATTTCCTGTCCTTTGTAGCTCTTAATAAATTCCATCTTTTTGTTATCCTTCCTAAACCTTGTTTTGACATCCATTTACTAAGGTTAGCTAGGTAGGTTATGTGCCATTTTCTCTCTCCCTCTTGCTTTCAATATGCCCAGTTTTCCAAGCCCTCTTTCCTCATGATGCACCCTAGAAATTTCAAATGTCTCTTCCTGATAAGTATAAGTGTCCTTTTTGTTCCATTTTCTCTAAAACATTGTTGCTCACATGTTTAGTTCATGGTATTCTCAATGTCCTCCTGTAAAACCATATTTCTGTTGCCTCAGGTCTCTTCTGTGAGAAGATTGTCCAGTATTCACTGCCATATAGGAGGACTGATATTACATAACAGTTCAGTACACTCTTAACATTTTTGGTTGTTAATAGACACAACCATTCTTTGTAACGTAGCTTGTCAAAAAATGAAAATTGCGATAGTGAGATCCAAACATGGATTGAACTCACAAAAGAAGCATTCCAAAAGCTAAGCAAGATGCTGAGAAATGGAAATATTTTGTTAGAAAATTGTATTGCTGTGTATTATCCATCCTGGAAGTGAATGTTGGACAATCACCCAACGAATGCGGAAAACACTAGAAGCAGCAGAAATATGGTTCTACAGAAGGATACTGAGAATTCCATGGACAGAGTGAGTAAGCAACAAGCCTTAAAATAGCAACAGAAAAAAACACATACTCAGAATCAAAGATGGCTGAAATTCCTTGGACACATAATAAAGAGGGCTTGGAAAACTTAACACTCATAGGGCGTATTTAGGGGAAAGCAGTGAGCCACTTATCTGACGAGTTTGTGAGAACTGATGGTATGGTGGTAACTTAGCAAAGGGAGTAAAACTGCTAAGAAGCACAAGATAGAAAGTTGTGGAGAGCTATAATTGACTATTGTTCTGATAGGACTTTGCATATAAAACATTGGGTTATGTATTCAAGAGGCATGTATCCTGTATACATCTGCATTTGAAAGTATTTCTATTTGATGGTTTTTCTTTGTCTTTTTTTTCTTAGGTTTGACTGACAAAATAGTTTGAATTTTTATTTTTAAAAAAATTGTTTTTTATTTCAGGCTTTAGAGAATGAGTTTAATATGGTTGGAAATAATCTTGATCGAGTGACAGCAGAAAGCAAGAACATAACAAGTGCTGACTGTTATGACAAAGATGGTGTTCTTTTGTCAGTTGAAGATTTCAAAAAAAAGTAAATATTCAGAGCCACTTGACTAACTCGTGACAAATATAAGAAAATAATTTACATATTGTCATGTTACCTAATGAAGCTTTGGTGTCTATAAAAAACTTAAATGTTAAACTTGCTGAAGCAAATTGATTTATTATCTATGGACTGGTTAACTTTATAATACTAAAACTATGAACTTTGCTGGCTTGCTTGTGTGTTTGCCACCACCTCTCTCTCTCTCTCTCTCTCTCTCTCTCTCCCCACCTCTCTCTCTCTCTCTCCCCACCTCTCTCTCTCTCTCTCCCCACCTCTCTCTCTCTCTCCCCACCTCTCTCTCTCTCTCTCCCCACCTCTCTCTCTCTCTCTCCCCACCTCTCTCTCTCTCTCTCCCCACCTCTCTCTCTCTCTCTCCCCCTCTCTCTCTCCCCTCCCCTCTCTCTCTCCCCCCTCTCTCTCTCTCCCCCCTCTCTCTCTCTCTCCCCACCTCTCTCTCTCTCCCCACCCTCTCTCTCTCTCTCCCTCTCTCTCTCCCCCTCTCTCTCTCTCCCCTCTCCTCTCCTCTCTCTCTCTCTCCCCCCTCTCTCTCTCTCCCCCCCTCTCTCTCTCTCTCTCCTCTCCTCTCTCTCTCTCTCTCTCTCTCCCCTCCTCCCTCTCTCTCTCTCTCCCCCCTCTCTCTCTCTCTCTCTCCCCACCTCTCTCTCTCTCTCTCCCCACCTCTCTCTCTCTCCCCACCTCTCTCTCTCTCTCTCCCCCCTCTCTCTCTCTCTCCCCACCTCTCTCTCTCTCCCCCTCTCTCTCTCTCCCCACCTCTCTCTCTCTCCCCCCCCTCTCTCTCTCCCACCTCTCTCTCTCCCCCTCTCTCTCTCTCCCCACCTCTCTCTCTCCCCCTCTCTCTCTCCCCACCTCTCTCTCTCCTCCCTCTCTCTCTCTCTCTCCCACCCCTCTCCTCTCTCCCCCCCCCCCCCTCTCTCGCTCCACCCCCCTCTCTCGCTCCGCCTGAGATTTTTGTGCATGCTTATTTATATTTCAGGTTTCTTTAAAGAAAAAAATATTTGAAATATTTAAAAAACATCTTTTGGCATATTTAAAAAAAAATATTTTCAACTGAATATGATTTAAAATATCTTTGGCATATTAAAAATATATTTTTAAGTTAATGTGATTTAAAAAAAATATTTTAAGATTTAAAAATACGAGCTGTTTATACAGTAAGTATTTTTATTTCAACTTTTTTCAGATATTCTAATGCTGAAATCAACTTCAATGTTTTATAACCTGAACTGTCAGTGACACAATGGGTCATGGGTTGTCTAGTTTATTCTAAAGATGTTACTATAATCAACATGTCATAGAATATAGTTAATTTTATTTTTAACTCCATAGACATTATAAATTGAAAGAACTGACGTACTTTTATAACTATCATCATTTCTCTAAAATACTTTGACTAGTCTGTTTTAACATAAAATTAGTTATATAACGTTCTGTTATAACAATGTGAGATACTGAACAAAAGTGATAAACACAAAAGCATAAGGAAACTGAACAAAATCATCTTGGGAAGAAACAAGTTAAAATTTCTGCCCATAATCATATTATCACCAACAATTGCATTTTTATATTTCCTCCTCCCTTCCTATGCATATATAATTCCATCAACAAAAACATATCTTTAATAAAGACACAAATGACAGCAAGGCTTCAACAGCAGCAGCAGCTCTAATAAAAAAGAAAAGCCACAGTGAGTGCAGACAGGCAGCAGTCACACTCATCATCAGGCAGGCTAGATTTAAGCCTCGAAATTCTCACAGAAAATTATCCTGGTGGATTGAAGTATAGGTTTGTGAATTTGGTATTGGAGTTCAATACCAGAGCCAGGCAGTACGTACTTGGATTCAGTGGAAATAGGAAGAGCCACAATTGAGCAGTACCAAAAATAAGAATTAGACATTGTGTTGTAGAGTAATTTTCACAGTGGAGGCTTGTATTTCATTAAGTCGGTCCTAAATTAGGTTCGACGTACAAAACGTTAGGAACTTGCAATAATAGTTAATGACACAGCAATCTAGTTGTGGGGCTCATACTTTAATGTCTGACATCGACTGACTCACACAACTCACTCAGCTTCACTGGCGACTGCTACTACTACTTATCTGTGGGATTGTCTATTTACAATAGAAATAGGTACGTTCCGGTATAACACATTGGCAGTGGAACTAGAACAGTCTATTATAGATTAAATGAAGCGTTTAGTTTGGAATTCCCTGAGGGTTACCTGGATCAATATACGACTGATGAAGTCTGGTAGGCACAACAACTGAAACATGATAGCAACCATAAAGATGAGGACAGATCTGCATGAAATGAATTTTAGTTGTTTTATTTTATTGCTTAAATTTGTGAACATTTTTTTCATTAATATTTTTAATTTCCAGATTCAACAAACTGTATCCGCACATGGCTGCTCGCAAAGAGACCCTTCAACAGGCATTAGCCTGGCACCAGTTCAACTTTGATGTGGACAATGAGTTGCAATGGATTAAGGAGCGGCTACATGCAGTCATTTCTACAAATTATGGCAAAAATCTCTTAGAAGCTCAGAACCTTCATACAAAACACCAGGTGTGTCTTTTAGAATTTTTATCTTTGAACACATCTTAGTATGAACTAAAATTTTAATTACATTTTTTTTTTCAATATACAATAAACAAAAATTTAAAAAAAAAAAAAAGGATTTTAAGGGGTCAAAAGTATTAAATCAGTAAATGGATGGCTTTAGTAAGTTTGGCAGGGTTGGAAAATTTTCTTAAAATAATTGACCTTGACCTTTTTATTAAGCAACTATTCAGCTGCAAGTGAAGTTCTCTTATTCTCATGAGTATATACTGTAATAATTTTTCCTTTATTCATTGACTCACTTTTTACAGGTTATTTAAAGCCAGAAAATATTTCTAAATTGTAAGAATTTTTTTGGAGTTGATTTAATGATACAAGTCTTACTAATTAATCCATATCTGGGAGAGAAGAGGTGGATTCATACTTTCTAGGGTTCAATTTAAATTTGTATTCTGTTTTTGCAGAAATTGGAGGTTGAAATTCAAGCCCATCAGCCAATGATTGATAAAGTTTTGTCACATGGAAATGAATTGGTCAAGGGAGATCACTTTGCTTCTAAGTCTATAAAAGACAAATGTCAAGATTTACAGCTCTCTTGGGATGATCTTCTCAGCAAATCCAAGACGAGAAAGAAGAATCTGGATTTGTCTTTACAAGCTCAGAAGGTATTTTCTTTTCTTTTTTAATAAGTCATCTTGTTAGTTTTATTTACTTTAATTTTTCTTGCTGTTTTTTGATCATCATATCCAAGTATGTCAGTCTGCTAGGGTGGCTAGCTGTTCCCTGTCACAGACGCCTACTCAGGCACATTTCTGTTTATTTAAAACATAAAACCCACCTGTGGTTTATTACTGCAACTATGCTGAGCAAAATTTGATTACAGTTTCTGGGAAAGAACATTCTCTAGCATAACCAACAGTCTGAACAAGGACAGTACAGTCATGATGACTTACAACTTTACTTGAGTCAACCTGTAGTATGGTTTTTAGGCACTTTCCAAAGGTGATGCACACTAGGGTTGCCTCTCCAAGATGATAGCATCTAGAAATCACCTCCCTGACAAGTAGACCAGAGTGCAATTCAAACCTGGGTCACATGGTTGGAAAGCAAATATTCTAACCACTTGACCACATAATGTGGTTAGTAAGGTACTTTTGGAGGATTTTTTTTTCCCCTCATTTGCTCACACATTCTTAAAAAAAAAAAAAAAAATTATGCTATGTTTGTGATAACATTTATCAAGATATCAAGTAATAACAGTGCAGGGAGAAATGGATTCATGCCCCCCCCTCCAGTCTTGAGTATGAAATAAAAATTATCCTTGGAACTGTTAACAATGGATGTAAAAGTTTTTTTTTTACTGTTACTATTGCTTCTACAGTAAATTAAGTAGAGTGGTTGCCTCAAATTTTCACTAAACGAAGTTAGAGGAGAAATGGGGACATGCCTTTTTTCAAGGGTATTAGTAAATTAAATGAATACAATCAACCTTACTTACCTGTTTTTTTATATCAAACACTATGGAATGCCAGCCATGAAACATTTTGTAAAGATATCTGTGGATGTAAACATGCCTTTTCCAAGGTCATTACTGCATAGTGAACATTTACATTATCTACATAGAGCAAATACTCTTTTTAAAATACAATGCAAGCCAACATATCTCAGCCAGGATATATTAATTATCTTTTATCATTTTATATATACATACATACATACACACATCTAGAAAATTCTGCTGCAGGTGTAACACAATAGGTCCCTGCTCAATTGGTTAAAACACAGTCAATTGGACTGTGAATGCTGTGGAATGACTTTAGTTTTATGATGACCAACTGAGTCACTAGTAAAATAAAGATGTGAGTTTTAAAGTAACCAACTACTGTCCATAAGTTGGGGAAAAAGAAATTATATATTACTGTAGAAATGCTCTGTAAATCATGAAGGAATAGTCAAATGTCACAGATTAATGCAAATATTATGGATAGAAGATAAATGTATTTGAAACTATTTTATAATGAAAATTCATAAAAAACTGGATGAAAGGGATTATTGGTCAAGCATTAGACCCATCTTTTTCGGGGTTTTTTTATTATTACATTTTAAAGTTTCTGTTAAAAATGTTATTTTGCTTCACTTTCCTTTTTGTAATTCTACAATGTTTTCTTTTTCAGTATTTATCGGAGGTGGCAGAGGTAATGTCTTGGATTGATTACAAAATCAATGTACTGTCTAGTAATGATTATGGTAAGGATGAGAATGCTGCTGACCGTTTACTGACCAAGAACAAAGTATTAGAGACTGACCGGCAAACTTATCAGGGTGTAGCCAATGGTTTAGGTAAAGAAGCTACACGCCTGATAAAAATTGGGTACAATGATCCTTCCATGATCCGCAAAACTCAGGTAAGATTTTTCTACAGAAATCCTTCCCCCCTTCCCCCTTCCCTTTTTCTTCCCCCTTCCCTTTTTCTTCCCCCCCTTTTTTCTTCCCCCCTTCCTTTTCTTCCCCCTTCCTTTTTCTTCCCCCTTCCTTTTTCTTCCCCTTCCTTTTTCTTCCTTTTCTTCCCTTTCCTTCCCTCCCTCCCCTTTGTCCGTTTTATATATAATAACACACATTTACTTCAAATTTTTTGAAAGTTTTATTAGATAATTATTCTCTCTCATATATATATATATATATATATATGTTATATGTTATTTGGATATATTTGCAACAATTGTCTATATATTTTATGTTAAATGGTTTAACCAGAAAAACAAATACCTTTTAAATATCTTTTCAACCAAGGCAATAATGAATAATGCTAAATATTTCTAATTAATAAAGATACAATGTAAATCTATACCATACCATAAGCAACCTGATGTAAATTATTCATAAATTACGCCATTGTTACTTAAATGTTTTAAATTTGTCATTTTAAGATCAAATTCTATAATGGGTGAAAAAAAAAAAGATGGAAAATAATTTATTAAATTCTGTTGTTGATAATGACCAATGGTAGTAAAAGTATTCATATTTGTTGTCAAGTGTTAAGTTCTTAGAAATATTTCTAACTTGATTTCAGGATGGCCTATACGAGAAGTTGAATCAATTGAAGCGTCTCTCAGCAGAGCAGCGAACCAAATTGGAAGAATCTAAGAAATTACATGCTTATTGGCGTGAAAGTCATGATTTTGAACAGTGGATTGCAGAACAAATGCAAATTGCCATGTCTGAAGAATATGGTGAAGATTATGAACACTTTGAGGTAAATATTTGAATCTTAAACTTTTAAAATATAGTATTCATGTAGCAAGTTAAGAATTTTTCTCTGGAGTATTCCACCTATGCTTTTTTTAATAGGAACTGTTCATCCGTAATCTCTTTGGTATGATTCCAGGTAACCTGTAGGCAATGGTTAGTTTTCCACTTATTTTAGTGGAGATGAAGAATTAAAAAATATGTTTAGGAAATTTTTCTCACCGGAGTCGATCCTTCAAATCTACAAATCAACCATTTGCCATTGCATGGAGTATTGCTGCCATACATGGTCTGGTGCCCCTTCTGTTTGCCTGAAGGTTCTTGATAAGATCCAGGGATGGATATGCAATGTAATTGGCCCTTGTCTGCAGTTGCTCTCTCACAGACGTGTCGTCGCCTCCCTCTGTCTTTTTTACAAATACTTTCATGGTAACTGCTCTGATGAACTGCTTTTGCTGGTTCCCAGACTTCAAAAATTTAAGCATTCTACTAGGCTAGCATCTCACTCACACCTGTTCACTCTCAAAAGTGTTAAATGTAGCCATCTCTTCTACACCAATAGCTTCATGTCTCTCACCTCTCGCCTGTGGAACTCCCTCCCCCTTTTTGTTTCCTTGATAGCTATAATCTCCAGATGCCCTATTCTTCTCTTCATCCTTTCCTCTATCACTCCTATTTGGACTCACTCCAATTCTCTGTAGCCCCTTGCATGCTAGTGGCTTCCCACCTTGCTTGGGGTGAAACGCTTAAAAAAAAAAAAAAAAAAAAAGTATGACTTGGACCTTTTCATCAAAGAGTATAAAAAATTTTTTATCTTGTTAGATATGCTTACTGGGCTATATTTAACATTAATGCCTGCAAAAAGTGTCAAAAGGATGGTTATTCCTTTGACATTACTGTATACTCTTTTGACTTCCTTGGTAATGTTTGCAATGATTAGAATTTTAATGAAACCCAAACATATGAAAGTGGATTTATACATTTTCTTTACTCTTGAAAATTGACAACAAAGATAACATTTGTTTATTAGTTTGCTTATTTACAAGAATAAATTTATATTTCCAAGATTATAAAAATATGTGGACCAATTAAAATTAAATATTTATTTACCATTTTATAAAGAAATAAACATGAAAAATTTAAATAAACACCTAATGACAAGTAACTAATTATAAATTAAAAAAAATGCATTTCCTGGATGTTTCTTTCATTTGCTCTTGCTGCATAAATTCACTAAAATAGTTCAAGAGCATCTCTTCCTCTGAATCAAACATTCTTTTAATTTGTCATATGCTTATTTAAATTTTATTGTTCAATAGTTATTTATAAAATGGTAAATAATAAATATTTCATTTCAGTTGGTTTACATATTTTGATTAATCTTTTAAATAAGCTGAAGGAGTCAAATGTATTCAAGGTTTGTTTTTTTAAGGAACAAAATTTGTCATCGATATTATAGTAGTTGGTGTGCCATAAAACTATACATTATCCTAATCTGAATTTTGGATGTGTGATGCAAAACCAAAAAAAAAAAACAAAATCTGAGTTATTATGTCAGGGTCATCAGTCAACAGGCATGCTATGGAAGAAAGATTTCTTCCATTAGCATTTTCCCCATTACTGGCATTATTATATCCATAATATAATAACACTTTATTTCATAGATGGAACTGAATAGAAGAAGAAAAGGAATGACAAACATGCTTTGTTTTGAGTTTTATGCTGCTAAGTAATGCAAAATATATATAATGTATGTGTGTGTCCATGTGTCCCACACAGAAACTATGACATGTATGCAACAAGCAGTGAAAAGTTGATGAAAAAGTCTTGCGTATAATAATTCTCAACAGGAACTGAAGCTGCAGGAGATTCTTCTGTGTTTCTGGAGAAGCCATATTTAAAATTCCAGAGGGCTGGATTCATCTGCTATGTTGCTATCTAGGATATATTCTGCAAGCATAAAATGGCAAGTCCCAAGTTTTTCCAACATGAGGACTGTGAGCTGGACATATTTTCTGTATCTGGTGAAGATAGTTTTCTGAAGGAAAACTCTGATATAGACTTGTAATCTGCTTCATGTGGCTGGGGGAAGTAGAATTAGCCTCAACCTGGGCTGATAGGTCTGGGCTAAAAAAGCAAGTGCTTTGTTTGATTCTTGGAAGCTGACTGACCTGCCACTTTTGTCACTGTATGAACATCAAGTAGCTATCATGCAACCTACATTACTTCTTCATGACCAAATGGAGTTGTATTTTGTATACCTACATTTTCATCACTTTTGCTGTCAAATTATTAAAATTATTGTTTATATCAGTGGTCTCAGACATGCAGACCACATACAGCCCTCAGACTACTTTTCTGTATGGGGAACCATTTTTATGGTCAATATTTTCCTTGAATTTTAATGGCGGATAAATGTATCCCCTTCCATACTTTTGCAGTATCAGTTAATGAAACAGCCCCTCACTCATTATATA